CTATGTGTGCCTCTCTCTCTCTCTCTCTCTCTCTTTCTCTTACCATCATCCTCCTTTCCTTCTGTGCAAGGCGCTCGTACTTCCTCTGCATGAGCACTAGTTCAGTCTTCAGGTGGGAGTGGTCATGTGTCTGGGGCTCGGCGGCAAACACAGATTTTCTACGACCGTGCTCGTCGGAGGAGCCGATCTGTTCCATTTGACGTAACTCCTGAGGATATCATCAGGGGGAAGAAGTTGATGATGTAGTGAGGTGTGGGCTGATGTGGTGTGGTGGAGGTGGGACGTACCGTGGTGTGGCTTGGTGTTGTGTGGCGTGGTGAGGTGTGGTGTGGGGTGGTAAAGGTGGAATGTAGTGTGGTGTGGTGTGGTGTGGTGTGGTGTGGTGTGGTGTGGTGTGGTGTGGAGTGGTGTGGTGGGGTGTGGTGTGGTGTGGTGTGATGTGGTGTGGTGGGGTGTGGTATGGAGTGGTGTGATGTGGTGTGGTGGGGTGTGGTGTGATGTGGTGGGGTGGGGTGTGGTGTGGTGTGAAGTCGTGTGATGTGGTGGATATTAGATATAGTGTGGTGTGGTGAGGTGTTGTGGAGGTGGGATGTAGGTGTGGTGTGTTGTGAAGTGGTGTGGTGTGATGTGGTGCAGTGCGGTGTGATGTGGTGCAGTGCGGTGTGGTGTGGTGAGGTGGAGGTTGGATGTTGTGTGGTGTGGTGAGGAGTGGTGTGATGTATGGTGTGGTGTGGTGTGATGTGGAGTGGTGTGGTGGAGGTGTGATTTGGTGAGGTGCGGTGCGGTGCGGTGCGGTGTGGTGTGGTCCAATGAGGAGGGGGTGGGGTATGGTGTGTTGTGGTGTGGTGGATGTGGGATGTAGATGTGGGGTGGTGTGGTGTGGTGTGAAGTGGTGTGGTGTGAAGTGGTGTGGTGTGGTGTCGTGCAGTGCGGTGTGGTGTGGTGAGGTAGAGGTGGGATCTAGTGTGGTGAGGTGTGGTGTGGTGTGGTGTGGTGTGGTGTGGTGAGTTGAAATGTTAAGTGGATTGATGTGAAGTGGTGTGGTTTGGTGTCGTGAAGTGATATGTGGTGAGGTGTGGGAAGTAGTGTGGTGTTGTGAGATGTGGTGGAGCGTGGTGTGGCATGGTGTGGTGTCGTTTAGAGTGGTGAGTTGTAGTGTGAAGTAGATTGATGTGGTGATGTGTGGTGTGGTATAATAGGGTATAGCATGGCATGGTATTGGCTTTAACAGTCCCTTCCATCACAGCACAGTCATTTAATTTATTCTAAAGCTCATCCCCGAAACAACCAAATGGAGGAGTGTATGGAGAGTTAACTTGAAGAACGTTTTCTTCTGAAGATTATCATGCCTCCCTGTGAATTAGTATGGGTAGTGTATTTAATGGCTTCAAGAAAGAGATCCTGTCAACATCAAAAGAAGTGGCACTGTAACAATTATTTGTGAGTGGGTGTTCTGGGATGATTTATCCCTGCTTTCTCAGTTTTTAAAAGAAATGTAGATGTTTTACGCCACCATCGATTAAAAAAAAGATAATTTAGTAGGTGTGCTTTGACCCTGTCTGTCTGTCAGAGCCAAAGTGGGCTGAGAGGGATACATGAACAACGTTCCAGCAGAAAGACTGTGATTTTCAATAAAAAATTACCCTCCCCCCTCTCCCTCCCCCCCTTCCCCCCTCTCCCGCCCTCTCTCTCTCTCTCTCTCTCTCTCTCTCTCTCTCTCTCTCTCTCTCTCTCTCCCCCTTTCCAAAAAACCCAACAAATAACAAAAACAAAACAAACAAAACAAACAAACAACAGCAACAACAACAAACAAAACAAAACAAAAACTAGTACAAGATTAAGACCATCGACAACAATATCAAGAACAAGAAGGACAACAGTAACAACAAGTGTAGCATCAATAAGAACGAGAAAAACAGCTATAGCAATAACAAAACGACGAAATTGACAATAATAATATTAACAACAACTGCGATAACAACAACGACAACGACAACAACAACAACAACAGAGAAACAGAAGCAATAAATTATGAAACAATCACAGAAACAGACACAGTACCTTTTACAACAACAACAACAGCAACAGCTACAACAACAACAAGA